GCGTTACAGAAACCCCCTCCACAGAGGTTCCCCTCCCCGAAGGCTCGCATCCTGGGGAAAAGGGCCAGGGTTTGTGCTGCGGCGAGGTCTCCTGTGCCACCCAGGGCAGAAGGATCCTCGTTGTGGGGGGGCTCTGCCCCCCAAAATGGGTCCGGCTGGCAGGGCGGCACCATCAGGCACCGTGCCAGGGAGGGCTCAGGCAGATGAGCCGGCAAAATTGTCCATATCTCCTCTTGTCTCTTGTAACAGGAGTGTCAGGAGCCAGGTGGATTATTTTCTTCTTTCCTTTAACCTTTCATTTTTTCTGAAATAGTAGGAAAAAAGTTCCCCTCGACCGCTCGCGGAGGCGCTGGCGGGGCCGAGCGGGTGTCCCGGGTTCTAGATCACGCTCTCAAAGATCTGCATGGAGCTCATGATGTCCTTGTCCTGGATGGGGCAGGACGGAGAGGTCAGAGCCCCCGGTCCCCCTCATCCCCTTCCTCACGTCAGCCCTGGGGTGACTGGAGCTGTCATCCCCTGTCTCTCCTGCCCCCTCAGCACATCGTTTTGGGATGGGACAAGGAATGGGGTTACATCTCAGACTCGGAGGCCTGGCAGTGAGGAGGAGGATGGCAGTGATGCCAAAGCCTCCCTCGGAGCTGCTCACCTTCTGGCATGTCTCCAGGAACTCCTCGAAGGTCACCACACCATCACCGTTCCTGTCCATCTTCTGCCAGGGAACAGCAAGGGCTCAGTGGGGACGTCCCCATCCCTGGCAGTGCTGACAGCCCCGGCCAACACACCAGGGTTTTGTGGCCACTGGGAGGGGAAAAGGCGGGATGGTCTCACCTGGAAGAACAGCTCCACATGCTCGGCGGGTGCGCTGTCCCTCAGGGTGGGGTGGGTGCAGCGCCCCATCATGTCGTAGATTGACTTCATGATCTCCAACATTTCCTAGGAGGGGGCAGAGGGGGGACAGGGTGACAAGAACCCTCTGAACAAGGGCACCTTCATCCCTCAGCACCTGTTTCCACCATCCCCATCCCTCTCTGGGCGTCCCCTGTGATGCCCCCACCC